GAATTTTCTAATAGTTGACATCAAAACTTTGTACTTTGATAAAATTTATATTCATAAACTTTCTAGATAAAATATTTTCATTCATAAACTTTATACATAAAAGAAAACATATCTGTTGAAAAACTTTATACGTAAATAAAAAAAATTAGATTCAGAAATTTTCTACGTAGATAAAACATTTTCATTTATATACTTTATAAATAAAAGAAAAAATCTATTGATGAACTTTATACCTAAATAAAAAAATTACATTCATAAACTTTATACATAAATAAAAAAAATCATATTTATCAGTTCTGACATATTCGCTGGATCGGAAGTTAGCGAACGTTCGCTAACTACCAGTTTGGCAAAAGGAGAGAGAACAGATCCACCAAGCATATACTGTACAATCTTGAAAGTGATATCACTGTGTGGTGTGTACTGGTCCATCGTCCACATGTAGACAGCGTGCAACTCGAGTCTTGAATATCGCCAAATTAACCTGCGCTTGTGTTGATGGAGGCCATGTCGTCCACACGACCAAACTCTCCACCGATTTCATTGTAGCCTCCACATATATAGCAGTACTCCGCTGCGAATAGTGGGGGAGCTTTTCGCAGACTTCTTTCAAAAAAAGATATTCTTTTACAGAAGCTTCTGGGTCAACGCAGACTGGCCACAGCACAGCCTATATGAGCTGGAATCTTCCTGCCAGTTCGTCTGAGAATTACACGCGCACATACAGAACAACGCGGCCAAGATTACATGGAAAAAGGTTGCACATAGGGCCGGTTTAGTTGTCAAAATAAATTTTGCCTTTACATGTCACATTGAATATACGAACACATATTTAAAATATTAAACGTTATTTAATAACAAAATAAATTACAGATTCTACTAGAAAATTACGAGACAAATTTATTAAGCCTAATTAATCTATCATTAGCAAATATTTACTGTAGCACCACATTATCAAATCATGGCGCAATTAGACTTAAAAAATTCGTCTCGCAATTTACACGCAAACTGTGTAATTGGTTTTTATTTTTGTCTATATTTAATACTCCATGTATGTGTAAATATTCGATGTGATGGACGAAAATTTTTTGTTTTGAAAACTAAACAGTCCAATAGTACAAGCTTTGCTCATTAGCTGTGACTACCCATGCACAAGCTTAGTAATCCCTCTGTCCCACAATTACTCAAACCCTATATTTCCAAGGTGGATTTAAAGAGAGATATGAATGATCAAGATATCTCTAATTAATTGTGAAGTTATATCGATGAATAGGTAGGTAAAGGGTATGAAAGAAATAAAATTTTTAGATTTGCAAACTAATGGTAGGTAAAAGAGTAAAAGTTGATTTATTTTGATTTTAAATTTTAGAAGCTGATTTATTTTGGGACGGAGTGAGTATATAGCATATAGGACCACCGAACCGCGAGACAGGCACGTCACGTCTCCATCGATCGATCGCGCGTCGGCGATTTGATTTAGCTGCGCCTTTTACATGGAAAAGGTTGCGCATAGTGCAAGCTTAGCAATAGAGATCATAACAGTGTGGCTCCTGATTTAGCTGCGCCTTTTATATGTTCTCCGTCTCGCGCGGGCGCATATCGTTTTCCTTTGCTCGATCGGCAACACAGTACAGCGGTGCATTATTCTAGCTGTTTCCCCCTTCCTCCTGTTCGGAATGCAGCTAGCAGTTTGGTGCTTCACATGCTAGTATCTTTGATTCCTTTCGCGTGGTCGCGCGTAGACATAATCATTCTTAATTGATCTGATGTACTTCTCTATAATTTTGATTAAATTTAAAGAAGCTTAATCTAGAAAAAATCAAAGCGCATTATAATTTGAAAGGGATGGATGGAGTAGAATGTTAAAGTAGTTTTGTTCCACCACCGTTATAATATCTTTATTTGTTATAACCAAATTAATAGAAAAATATTCAGTCACAACTATGAAATGGACCTAGAGACATATTGATCGAGATGGATGAAATTGCAAGATAAGAGTTTTTCAGGCTCAATAATAATGCAATGTTTCTTTACTATATGCATATAATCTATGCAAAGGTCAGATGCTTAATAAAAATAATATTTTCTACAAAATAAAAATAATCCAAAAGTATTTTTCTGTGACAATTAATTCTATAGGTCAGATAATGCCACATTAAATTGTAGGACTAAAACTCTTAAATCTATAATAACCAGAGCAGGGTGAATAGTTGCAGAAACACCTAAATCTACATTTTTCATAACTAATATTTTTAGAAATTTCCTTGGGAAGCATATGTAAACGTAAGTTTAGAAATATTACTTTTATATATTCATAAACAAACTGATTCATATTTAAAATTAGTGATTTGTAATCTGCATGCATGGAAATTAATAAATATGTACAAATACCATTAATTTTTTCTACTCTAAGGTCATCTTGATATAAGAAACTAATTCAACTACTACAAGTCCAAAAAGTAAATAACATTCCGTTCATTCAGTTTTCTTGACTTAGTAATAATTGTGAAGGGGTTGTTTTTTGTAATACTCCATCAAAATTTTTCTTTTAAATTTTTTTTTTGGAATTTCAAGAAAATGTTTAAATTCATTCAATATCTCGTCAAATAAAAATTTTATTGAGTTTTTTTAAATTTGGAAATATTCCATTCTGTTGGTCCGCAAAAATACCTTTTTTTCGCAATTTGGGAAGAAAAGTTTCGAAATTTGCAAATCTGTTAAAATTTAGATTAATATCATTCAATTTTTCATGTTCAATTTTTTGAAATTCATAAATTTTCCAAAATATTTTTTATTTTTGAATTTTGGGACAAAAATTTACTCAAATGGAGCATGCATGCAACTTGTCGTAGGGGTAAAAACGTCATTTGTAAAAATTTTAGATGCCAAATTGAAATAGAAATGTTAAATTAAATTAATAATGGTCATATTGCGTTCTAGCAAATTACTATATACTACAATAGAATATGCGGCATCAGTGTCCGTGCGTAGTGGTGTTTGGAAAAAACTACAGCGATTTAATTTGTTTCACACAAGCTCGTATACATATCGCCGTCCAGGATTGGCAGTATATATGTGAACACGTATCCCAAGAGATAAAGAGAGGCGGAGGTATACGTACGCGCCAAGCCAAATAAAATCCCGTCAAGTCCCACTCCATATACGCTCGGTCGTTTGGACGTCGAACTATCATATATCTCCATCGCTTTTGCTATTGCCAGTTGACATGCCGTCTTCTCCGAACACACCAAACAGTCAAACACCGCATACACACGCAAGACAACAACATACGTTAACGTTGTGCCTCCAATCTCCCAATCGATCGATCATACATTCATACTCCCTATCTAGCTAGCTAGCCTAGTTAGCTACGTGTGTACCGGGGAGATTAATGGGGATGCATGTAACACTCAAGAAGCAAATTAGCTAGGGAAGATGTGTATCTCAAAGAGTAATAGAGTGGTATTATTTGCAGCACATAGGCTACTCGAAGCTCTCAGCAATTCTTAGTTTCATAACTACTCTATATGGCTGTGTTCGGCAGCCTATGTTAGGAACACATTTTCTGCACACGAAAAACGGAGTGGTCCATTAGCGTGCACGTAATTAATTAAGTATTAGCTATTTTTTTTAAAAAAATAGATCAATATGATTTTTTAAGCAGCTTTCGTATAGGAACTTTTTTTAAAAAAAAACGCACCGTCTTTAGCACTGTGAAAAGTCTGCGAGCAAAATACGTGGGAGGTGAGTTGGGAAAATTGGAGGAAAGAACACAGCTTGTATATGTAGTTCTCTGCACGTGTTTGTGTCTATTTTACGAAATATCCTATAGATGCAAGTCTTCACATGTTACATACACATAACATGTACATTAATTAACTAACAAATATTCACAAAATTCTAAAAAATATGTATGTATACTTTCAATAAAAGAATTTGTAATAGTATTATATCCACATATGAAATTCCATCTTCAAATTCATCATACATGGAAAAAAAGACAACATTTTGACAAATTTATAGTCTTAAAACTATCAGAATTTTTTTTGTTGTTACAGCCAAAATATAATGAATTAATTTGTGGTTAGATTTATACATAGGTGTAATACTATCCATAGTATATGCATATATTTTTTTTTATAATTTTAGATAATATTTATTAGTTGGTATGCACGGAGTGTGCTGTGCACAGGATATGTTCCCACCTTACTATAACAATTTACATCTGACATAGCTCCATACATATTATAGTATGGTAATTTTTTTGGCCTTTTCAGTACGATGAGTGTAGCTCAACTGATTATGTTCCTTGTGATGGAACCTACCCACCCAAATTCAAGTTCCAGACTTGATATAGATGAGTTTAAGTCCTATACTTGACACGACTGCTCGCATCTATGGCTAATTAGCTTTTTAAGGATAGGCAACTTACCATCGGTGATTTTATTTGGGTGCTCGCATTTACGGCTAATTAGGTTTTCAGTGATAGATGACTTACCCGTGGGTTCAAGTTTTAGACTTAGACACATGTGTTTGTATGTATGGCTAATTATATTTTCAATGATAGACGACTTACCCATTAATTGATAGTGAGGCCCTATTGATGACTTCGTCGATTTTAAAATATGCGACATGATGACTTTATCAATTTTAAGATATACCGGTTCAGTCTTTAGATATGTTTATAAAAATATCCGCGTATTTATAAGCCCTTGGATTTGTAGTATGTTTTAAAAAAGAAATATTTTATCACCAACATATAGGAACTGGATAAATCTACGTGCATGGTGCATCTATGATTGGTGTAGAGAGGAAGACTCGTTTAGCAGTGTTTGCAGTTTGCATAATGTATAGTAAATACTCGGTGCATATATATGCACGCACACGTTTTGATAGCTAGTATCTTGTAGTTTAGCTTCTAGGAAAAATATCAATATTTATGGGTGGACGACTGAAAAATGCTTGAGTTGTTCTCGCTATGGTATAAAGTCTGCAGGTAGCGCGCGTCGTCTCCAGTCCAGTGAAGAAAGCTCACGCACGCAACACGCACGCACCCCTAGCTCATGTGCAAGACGAGCCGGCGAGCTGTATACGTAGCAGCTGGACTCTGGAGAAGCATCAGCTAAGCTGTACGTACTACTGTAGTTCGATCGATGGATGCTGGTAATAACGCAATCGCTGCGGCGTCCTTCGCCATCGTCGTCCTTGTCGCCGCCGCCGCCTCGTCTTTAGCGGCGGCGGTGCCGGCGGTGTACGTGCTCGGCGACTCGCTGGCGGACGTGGGGAACAACAACCACCTGCTGACGCTGCTCAAGGCGGACTTCCCGCACAACGGGATCGACTACCCGGGGGGGAAGGCCACCGGCCGCTTCAGCAACGGCAAGAACTTCCCCGATTTCCTCGGTGCGTTATCGTCGCAAGCCCCCCACCCCCCCCCCCCCCCCCCCCCCGCGTTTTCTGAATGAATGATAGTACAATCCTGCAATCTGCATGCCTTCCTCATGCGTCACGCGTGCGTGCATCCAGCCTCATGGCTCATGCATGCATGCAAATTCATGGCTTAATTACCATTATATTGTGCATTATTGCATTTCACTGGTGACCGATCTCATTCTTCTACGCATAGTACTTAGCTAGTAACTATTACATTCGTCCACACAAAGTATAAGGAGTTCGAGATGAGTTCCACACATGCATTAAAAATTGATGGAATTAAATGTGATAAGTTGTGTGATTGGTTAAGAAGAGGTGGGTAGCTAGGGATTCTAGATGGTAAAATGTTATGATTGGTTGAGAATATAATAATTATTTTAGTTTGAGAAGTTATTATATTTTATACTAACAAATTTTGAAGAGTTATTGTGTTCACTACCGAGCTCCTAAGTCGAAGTCCATAACACAAAAGAATTGTTGCGCTAGCCTAACGCCCACGAAGTTTCAGATTAGTACCAAATTAAACAGGACAAAAGTGTTTCTTGTATTAATAATAAATATGCTTGAAATCTAAAAAAATGATTTCTTATAATAGTAATCAACCAAATTGAATCATATTAGAGACAACGAGAGCGATAGCGCGGCGTGACCCAGACGGCGAGACGTCGAGCTGACCGTTGCACCAGCCGCGCACACACAACGACCGATTGCCCTGCTGTGACGGCCTGCCGTCTCGCCCTAACAAACACGCCGCGCCGGTCTCGCGTAGTCACGTTGCATTTGGTCGAATCTTCTTTCACGCCTAGCTTGACTTGTTTTCTTGATTTTTCCTGTTTTGCTACTCATCCGATATACTACCTCCGTTTTATTAAAGTACGACGCCGTTGACTTTTATCAACGTTTGATCATTCTTTTATTTAAAACTTTTATGCAAACATAACCAATATTTAATTCATGCTTAAAAACATTTGATGATATATTAAATCATAATAAAATAAATAATAATTACATATTTTTTAACAAGATGAATGGTCCAACGTATCTTACTAAGTATACATTAGTAAGTATATATTATGTGTTGACTTTTTATTAGAGAAGTTAATAGCAGTGCCACATATTTAAAAAGAAAACACACTATATGACCAACCGTTCAGCAGTGCAGGCTGACCTTAATTGATTAAGTTTGCTGATTCTACTTTCTCCGACACAAATTTATTCAGGTAACCAGTTAGAAATAGCTATATTTTTAGACGGAAGGGGCAGGTAGAAATACGTTTCTATAATATCTGTTAGTGGCGTAATTTGAATTTTGTATGTTAACAATTAACAGCACCAGGTGTGCTACCGTTGACGTCGTACCAACGGTATATAGTCAACCTTTTATCATAGGCTAGCTGAACACGTACTATTGGCATACGTACTTAACAGGACGTGCTTAAAATAAAGGCAACAAGACTACTGCTACTAATTAAGTCAGCATGTTGTCTAGGCAAATTCAACCAAGAAGGTAACGCATAGATTTTACCAGTTGGCTCTAGTTGGTTCGGCACTAAATATCTTCTACAGAGTTTTATTTTTTCTGAAATAAAATATCTTCCATGAACTGTCATGGTGTGACATGCTACTTGTATTGACATAAATAAAAATATATTTTTTCCATGCACTCCTTTTGTTTCTTATTATAATCATTTTGACTATTTTCTTAGTCAAAATTCTTTATATTTGATTAAATTAGTTTTATTAAATTTAACATAGAATATATTTTGATACAAAGTTTATTTTTATTAAAAATATTACTATATTTTTCTATAAATTTATCTATAAATTTAGTCACTAAGAAAAAAAATTAAACGACTTATATCTTCTATTATATACTAAAAGTCCATTAAACTTTCTACAAACGCTCTCAAGCTGCCATGTGGCACTCCTACAAACACTCCTAGATCGCTACATGGCACAGTCTAATCTCACCGTCGATTTTCATTTAAATTGGTGGACCCATTATTTTATACCGTTAGATTAGATCTATACATGCCGTCGATTTTCAGTTAATATATTATATCCATATATATATATATATAATACCTTTCTCTGTACTGTTTGTCGGAGGAATAGAACGTATGTACGTACATACCACAACCAAAATAAAGCATACATGCTTAGTACGACTATCAAAAAAGCAAATATCACTCTACAATATAAAGATATATTGGCCCACAAATATATACATGCAATTGAATGATTTTCGATCCATTATTTTATCCATATATATTATCGATTTATAAATTATTGGACCTGTTATTTTTTACTATTAAATATGTAATACCTTTCTCATGTGCATAATGTTTGCCGGAAGAAAAAAATATATGCACGTACTTACCATAAGCCAAAATAAAATATAAATACTTAGTACCATCAAAAAAAACCACGGTCTTTAAAATAGAACTATCAACGATATAAAGATGAAATATATTACTTCACAAATATATAGATGCAATGTTAAACTAGATCTATAATATAAATATCAAATCAACCATCTTTAAATGTTCATCTTTTCAAATTATTTTTAAATTATATATCCAATTTGTGATCTACAAAACAGTACTAAGTCTTCATGTGGCGTTCCTACAAATACTTCTAGACCGCCATGTAGTACTGTATAATCTCATAGTCGATTTTCATTTAAATTAGCGGACCCGTTATTTTAGACTATTAGATTAGATGTATATATATACTAACCGTGAAAAAAACATAAGTACATATACAAACGTACGTTAGATTGAAAAAGAAATAAAGCTTCGGTACTACTATTCGCAGCAAGAAAAACTATTATATACTAAACGTTCATTAAACTTTCTATTAATATTCCTAAGTCGCCATATGACGCTGCTATAAGTGCTCCTAGGCCATCACATGGTACTGTATAATCTCACCATCGATTTTCATTTAAATTGGTGGACCCGTTATTTACCCTCTAACGTGGCATACAAATGGCCGAGTTGAGTGGGCCCAGTGTGTCATAGGACTCTATGAAAGGGTTATAGTAAATTAGACATTAAAATTGTGCTTCGGGCTGATCTTGAGGGGACACAACTACCCAATTTTCAAGGTAATAGAGAAAGAAAGTCTCTACGGCTATGACCGGCTTCACCCGTTAGTGATATTTTTAGAATATTTATATGTGGATTTGGAAATAAGTGAGACATAAACACTTAGCTAAGTAGTGTATTAATAATATATTAGGCTTATTTTATTATGCGCAATTTCATGTATTGGTAGTTAGCGAGCTTTTAAAATAGTGATAATGAGTTGTTACGATAATAGGAAAATTTATATGTAATCGGGACAAAGTGTTTTTAATTCTGGGAGACATTCTTATAATTTAACTATATTGAAGTCTACGATCTATCTCACGACGTAGAAATGGTGAGATATGACTTCTTTTAGCACTATTTCATAAAACAATAAATAAAAAGCCCGCGCACCGTGCGGGCTTCCTTCCTAGTTATAAAATAAAGGGAGTAATTTTATTTTCTTTTCTAAATTCGTTGAGAACCAATGACAAAATGTTGATTGATGCACGTTGGCTACTTGTTGATGATTCCATACAGCTTGTAATCAATTTCTGTACGTGTTCATCCGACGTTGCTTGTACGCTCAAGATATGTTTATTTCCTTGGTTGTTATACCTATAAAAATATATAGACACATATAAATTTTAAGGTTCACGCAATAGTTGGATGTACACTATAATGAACTATAGTTTGTAGTTTCTCCATATATTCGTGTGCACTTAGATTTCAACCTACTAGGTGAAGCCACACCATAGTATTGCCTTCTCTATTTTGTTAATTTTGGTTTTTGGTAGCTATAAATTTAGGTGGAGACAAATTATATTTTTTAAAGATAACTGGAGACATATTACCTAATGAATGATAGGTCAAGCACATCATATGAGATATCAGATATCTAGCCAAAGGGTTTTTCCGATATGTCCTTTTCAGCCTGGCCATAACTTTTTCCCCCAAGAAAGTGAAATGGAAATTGTCCGTTGGCGAAGCCAATCAATTGAGAACAAATTTGGTGTCATTCTCTACTTCACTTTCGTGGGTCAGATTACCATACGTGTACGTCCTTAATTATTCTACATTTGAGGATCGGATTTAGGCGATTTACCTATTTGATGTTGACAAGCTGGTTATTATTGTTCTAAAAAATGTTGTGGTTAATTAATTTGGAATTTTATTTTATCATTCTTTAGTTTGGCTACAACACTGTTTTCTTTAATTTATCTCTTGCAAGCTTGCTGGATTGACCTTCTATGTATAGGTTATGTGCCATATGGTGGAGCTCCAATAGGCTAGAGGCATAAGTTTCTCATGAATTAGTCCATAAAAGATATGTAAGTTTCGATTTTGGAAGGGGACCTCTACATTATTGACGAGAAAAAAAAGAAGGGTGTGAGAGGACAACTAGCAAACAGCTTTTTTAAAAAAGTCAGAAAAACAAGAAATATATATATGTGCATTAGCAATTACAATTTTCAACTTGTACATACGTACGTTCTACACAGCTTAGCCCTTACATACTAACCACCAGGGTTCAAATTTTTATTTTGGCTATTTTCTATCAGGTACTGAAATAATTTGAATTTTAATAAAATTTGGTCACATTTAAACAAAATTTGCCAAATTCACAAAAAATGGAAAAAAGGGTGGAATAGTTTTGGTTTTGGGGGGGGGGGGGGGGGAGGGGGGCGATAGACCCAAAATTTTGAAAATTTCAGTCCGTAATTTTGAACCTGCTTATTACATATATAGTACGTTAATTTAATCATGTTATTACAAGCTTCCCGATCCTTGTGTATCCGATCATAAATTAATTTATCACTTGGTCATTTTTGATATGAATGGTGCATTGCAGCTGAGAACCTTGGGTTGGCGACATCTCCACCGTACCTCGCCATATCGTCAAGCAGCAGTGCTAACTACGTGAATGGCGTCAACTTTGCTTCAGGTGGCGCCGGAGTTTTCAACTCTACAAACAAGGTAGTTCTAATTAGTTTCAACTCGTACACGTAATTGCAATAACAAACTTTTCTCATAGATTACCAGGACGTAGGATTATATGTATGCATGTTAGTCGTCAACGCACTATATATAAAGTTCATTTTTTTTAAAAAAATAATACAAATGGTTTACATATTTCTGTCGACAGTGATATAGTCAATTTGTTTTCAACTTGTTTTAGAGTTGAAAATTGGTTTTAATTACTTGTGTTAAACATTAATGCAGGATCAGTGCATCAGCTTCGACAAGCAGATCGAGTACTACTCCAAGGTGCAGGCGTCGCTGGTGCAGAGCCTCGGCGAGGCCCAGGCGGCGAGCCACCTGGCGAAATCCCTCTTCGCCATCACCATCGGCAGCAACGACATCATCGGCTACGTCAGGTCCAGCGCCGCCGCCAAGGCCACCAACCCTATGGAGCAGTTCGTCGACGCCCTCATCCAGTCGCTCACCGGCCAGCTACAGGTGAGGATCGAGGTCACCGATCGACAGATAATTAAATCGATCATCAAATGATCAATTTCATGGTGTTACGTTCTAATGGTGTTCGATCGATTGTGTTCAGAGGCTGTACGACCTCGGGGCGCGCAGGGTGCTGTTCCTGGGGACGGGGCCGGTGGGCTGCTGCCCGTCGCTGCGGGAGCTGAGCGCCGACAGGGGCTGCAGCGGCGAGGCCAACGACGCGTCGGCGCGGTACAACGCGGCGGCGGCGTCGCTGCTGCGCGGGATGGCCGAGCGGCGCGCGGGCCTCCGCTACGCGGTGTTCGACTCCAGCGCGGCGCTGCTCCGGTACATCGAGCGGCCGGCGGCGTACGGGTTCGCGGAGGCGCGGGCGGCGTGCTGCGGCCTCGGGGACATGAACGCCAAGATCGGCTGCACCCCGGTCAGCTTCTACTGCGCCAACCGGACGGGCTACGTGTTCTGGGACTTCTACCACCCGACCGAGGCCACCGCGCGGATGCTCACCGCCGTCGCGTTCGACGGCTCGCCGCCGCTCGTCTTCCCCGTGAACATTAGGCAGCTCGCTGCTATGTAGGCTTCATCTCATCTTCACGGTGTACTGATCGATCGAGCTGCTTGTGAGATTCCACTTTTTTCAAGCTTCAAGTACAGCCATAGAAATATACTACTATATACCATGTAAAGTATACTAGTGTATTTACTTACGATTGGTACATATAGCGGTAGAATCATATAATATAGCAAATTCATAATAAGTGATTGTTGAAGTTCATCAGAAATTCACCTGGAATTGGGGTCGGAATCATAACAAGTGATTATTGAAGATTGTCAGACAGCTATAGTACTTACCAAGACGAGAAGATTTGTGGTGCAGCAATTTTTCTTTCAGGGATACTAGCGCTCAAAACGTGGCAGGAAAAATTCACTTTAGATTCCGCATAGAGTAAATTGCACTAGCGGTACTTAAACTTGTAACGATGTTTCACTTAGGTCCACGAACTTGCAAAGCGCACATCGAGATCCCTAAATTTGATTTATTGTATCATCCCGGTCCAAAGCCGCGTTTGACCGTGGTCTTGCCTACTTGGCACGCCACGTAGACGATGACATGGCACAAATTTTAATTTTCCTTTTTTTCTCCCCATCTTTTCTCTCCTTCCTCACCTCGTATGGTCGGAGGGGACGCGGGGCAGGAGCGGCGCGGGCGTGCTCGGGCGCCGGCCGACGGGAGGAGAGGAGCGGCGCGCGTGCGCGGCCAGCGGCCGGCGAGAAAGGAGCGGCGCGCGGGTGTCGGCTGGCGGGAGGAGAGAAGCCGCTGCAGCGGGGCGGCAGGGCGAGCTCGTGCTCAACGGTGTAAGCTCGACGGCGACAACGGCCATGTGAGGGCTACTGCCGGAGTGGTGGGGCGAAGAGGCCGAGGCGCGCACGGGGGGTGGTGTCGCCAGCCGCTCCCGGGGGAGGGGTCGCCGACCGCGGCCGCGCGTGCGGGGGGAGGCGTCGGCGGGCCCGAGCTCGACGACGGCAGCGGGGCGGTGGGGCGAGCTCGAGCTGGGCAACGCGAGCTCGACGGCGACAATGGCCATGTGGGGGCCACCGCCGGAGTGGTGGGACGAAGAGGAGGGCGGCACGTCATTCATGCGGAAGCGGCTGAGGTGCGCGAGGGGGGAGGTGTCGCCGGGGCAGCCAAAGCCTCGTTGACGGGAGGGAGGGAGGACGACGGTGATTGGGGGAGGACACGCCGCGCGGCGCCTCCCAGCCGCGTGTCCCTTCCTCCTTTCCTCCCCTCGGCGTCGCCTCCTAGCTGCGCGTGGCCAAGCCACTGCGCCGCACCACCTTCCTCCTGAGCTGTGCCGCCTCCCTCCCGTGCGCGCGCCCGGCCGTGCTGCCGCGCTCAGCCACCGCCCCGCTGCCTCATGCCACGCCCGCCCTGGGCAGCCTCCTCTCCCACACCGAGCTCCCCTCCCTTATCCCACCGCTGCCCCTCTCCCGGCGCTGTGCCAAGCTGCGCCGCGCCGACACGCCGCTGTCGCCTCAGCCGCGTCGTCGCGTGCCGGCTGCCTCGCACGCGACAGCCCGCGCCGACGCCGCTGCCCCGAGCTCCCCCGTGCCGGCCTCTCCCTTCCATCGCCGCCGCCCGTTTCCGCTCGAGCCAAGACGACGCCGCCGCCGAGTTTTCCTCTCCTCTCGATAGCCGCCAGCTCCTCTCTCCTGCACCGCCGCCAGGTCGCCGACCCCGGCCACAACCTCCTCGCACCGGTCGTCAACCGCCTCTCCCCGCCTCTCTCCTGCGCCGCCGCCAGGTCGCCGACCCCGCCCACGGCCTCCTCGCACCGGTCTCGCTGGCTCCCTCTCTCCCTTTGCCTGCCACAGATGCATCTAGAGGTGGAGGAAGGAGAGAAAAAAAAGGAAAATTAAAATTTGTGCCATGTCATCGTTCATGTGGCGTGCCACGTAGGCAAGACCACGGTCAAACGCGGCTTTAGACCGGGATGATACAATAAACTAAGTTTAGGGATTTCGATATGCGCTTTGCAAGTTCGTTGACCTAAGTGAAACCTCGTTACAAGTTTAAGGACCGCTAGTGCAATTTACTCTTCCGCATATAACGGTTGAGTTTGGATAGTGCCCCTCATCTTCTAAAACCACTTTAAATATATAGTCCCGCCATATGCACACTATATTTCTTCTCTATGGATTACATGTACGTTGACCCACTTTTTTTTGTTGTTGTTGTTTTATCGTATAAGTTTCACATAGACGCCACATTAGATAAAGAACAAATCAATATGGCACGTTGAAACCGTCTTCGTTGGGACTACATTTCCTCTGTTCGGTAAAGATAAGGATTGCGTTAGTACATTGTTTCGCGGTTGAGAGACTCGATCGAAACTCAACCTTAGATGAGAGACCGGCAGTGAACTTTTTCCAAACGTGGTTCGTGGCCCATCAAAATTCCAGGATTCCAGCTTATGTTGGGCCTTCCAGATCTGCGTCGTTGGGCCATATGGGCCAGCGTGCTTGTTCGTCCAAGCACACCGCCCCACGGCCCACCGTCCGATTCACACGTCTAGTAGTTCCCCAGGCCAAGCTACCGGTGCTGCCGGCGGCGGCGGCGGCGGCGGGCGCCGGAAGCACGAACGGCGAACGGCTAAGGCACCTGCCTCTCGGGACTCGGGGACCAGCGGCAGAATCTTCTCCGGGCGGCCCTTTTCTCTTGCCCCAGTGGCCTCTGCTGCAAACTCCGCACAAATGCCGCGCCCCGCTGAGCCTCCCAGTTCTCGCCGCCGGCGATATGTGTAGGTAAAATTATTTAGAATGAGTTAATTTTTTTTGGTTATGCGCAAATCCACAATTAATCTACATTTGAGCTAACTAGTTGCTCCATAGTTTCTTTGCTGAGCTGGAGATTGGATGCAGTATTGTTGCCATTCAGATCTCTTGGTCGAGTTTGAACCTAGAACTGGGCCTATAAGGCTATAATTTGTTACTGCAGCTATTATACTTCTATACGTTATATGCATTTCAGGTTTGTGACTAGCCTGATTCAATCCAAAGCCTTGACTTTAACTATCTTTTTTTTTAAAGAATACGTAGAAGGTTTGCATGCCATTTCTTATAGCGATAAGAGAAAAGGAACCAGGCTGCTATGAGTGTCCAAATAGTACCAATTACACCACTCAGGAACCACTACACATAATGCAGCTGTTTTCTCCGCAAAAGGTAAATAATAGTTGGTTGTTTAATTCACACAATCACACCACATGACCCATGAGAGACGGTAAAATATATATGTAGCTAATATGGTATGAGCTCCTCACCTGTAAAGCATGACGTTGATTAGGTGATTATTACTTATAGGTTGCAGTGTTCTTTCTAATTTTTATACCAAATTAAGCTATCTATTCATCCTCTTCGCTACTGTCATCACTGCCGTACTGAATTTCCTCATCTTCTGACTGCTCATGGTCTTGCTCATCGTTGTCCTCTCCATTGTCATCTTCGTACAAAAGCCCAAACTCCTCTCTGTGCTCGTCCTCACTTGCATCATTCAATTCATTCAGAGCTTGTTGCTCTTCATACCAAGCATCTTTAGACTCATGTAACTGAGAGAAGGGACATTAATTATTATAAATAAAAAATTCAGAAAAAGGAACTAAGAAAATAAACAGTGGTCCTAGTACTGCAAATGCACTAATAAAACTTAAAGCATAAAGTATTTGTACGTAGATGGTGATAGAGATCTATACCTGGCATTGCTGGTGCGAAATTTGGACTTCCAACCAGTCTGCTAGCAATGGGCACTTTGTGATGGTAAGTCGCTGAAGCTGTGTTGACAGTGGTTTATCAGATGGTAGCTGCAGATAAGGACATCTATGTATCTTCAAAAATTTGAGTGACCCAAGGCTGCTAAGACCCATTATAGAGTGAAGACGTGGGCAAACACTGATAACCAAGACTTCGAGCAATGGGTGATTCTGATTGTCAAGTAAAAGGTGCTCGATGCTCCGTGACAGTAACACTTTCAGTGATCTGAGATGCGGAAAGTGCAAATCATTCAGAATTTGTTCATTTATCTTGCTCTTCAAGACCAAAGTAGTGAGGTTTGGAATAGCTGGTAGACTAGCAAGTTTGCTGCAATCCTTGATAACTAACTTTGTGAGGGAGGAAGATAGCTCCTGTGGGAGGTACCTCAACTCGTGGCTATCCTTGATTTTTAGCAGGCGGAGTGAAGGAAAGTCATCCTGACCAACTTGAGACCACTCAACCCATTTCAACATTTCTTGAAACTCCAGCTCCTCAACAGCTGGGAATGCCTTTGTGGTGATGTTTCCACGGAACTCCTGTCGCACATGCTCCACATCTGTCATGCACTCCATAGAGAGTATGCGGAGGCGTGGCAATTCCCCAAGTGGAGGAAGGAACTTGCAGCTTTGCTGACATAGGATTATCTTTGCCAAGTGCATGAAGGTAGAAGCCCCAAACCAGCTAGGATATTTGTATCCACTATAATTGACTACCTCCAATTCTTCGATGTTCTTGTGCGGCCGTAGGCTCTCAAAGATCTCTTCCTCATGCTCTGGGTCTGGGGTAGCCACATCATTTTGGCTGCTAGGATGACTGCAGTTGTTGGGGCAAACACCATCAGACCAGTCTAATCTCAGGATTTGCAATTGGTTCTTACTGACTAAATTAGCTGTCTGAGCATCATCAACATTTATAACCCTCCGTAGTCCTGTAATACATAACTCTCCATGTATGTTCACCAGATGGTGTAGCTCGGCAACATTGGAATGCCAACCTCCGCTTCCAATGCTAAACCTTGGCAATGTCTGTAGCCTTTTTAGCCCACCTATCCCACATGGCATGCAAAGTGGGGACCAAAGATCCAAATTGAGATGGCGGAGGTTGACCAGTTTTTTTATGCCTTGTGGGAGCTCTCTAAGGCTGTCCGTTCTTGCATCCAAGACCCTCAGATTGTAGAGGTCACTAATTGATTCTGGGATAGTGGTAATTCGTGTTTGGAAAAAGCTAAGATATCTGAGTAGTTTCAATTCTCCTATTGAATCAGGTACTTGTGCAAGTGCAGTATGACTGAAATCCAATGCACGAAGTTGTTTAAGATTTTGCCATGTTTCGGTAGGAATTTTAACATTGATGCTACTAGAAAACAACTTACTGGAACATCTTCGATTATCTTGTGCATTGACAACCTTAAGGATTCTTATACCTCCAGGTATCGTCACAGAATTTAGTGCTACATCTGTATGATCAGAAGAACTGACAACCAATGACAAGTAGCGGAAGTTTCCAATGGTTTCATGCAAATATTGAGTATTTATTCTCAAGAAATCTCCTCCAGAAACAAAATGTACCAGATCATGGATAAGATCATGTGTGACAAAGCATTCCAGTTTTTCATCAGATTCTGCTCGTTGAATCATTGCCCTCTGAATTAAATCATCGAAGTACATCCTGCCAATGTTTTCATGGCGCCCAGTACAATATTGCTTGAGGAGTCCCAAACACATCCAGAGATTTATCATGTCTTCTTTCCAGAAATAGTACCCCTTAGGGAGCAGTGAAAGGAAAACAAAGCAGCGCTTCAATTGTACTGGCATTCGATCATAGCTGAGTTTTAGTGCTGGCAGCACTCGATCCTCTTCCGCAGGTAAGCCCCATTGATCACTCTCTGAGACATCTTTCCATGTCTCTTCATTTGTCTCACCGCGAAGAGAGGATCCTATTGCCTTAATTGCCAATGGTAGGCCTCCACATTTTCCCACAATTTTCCTACCAAATCCTTCGAACTGTTGATCCATATGTTGATCTATAAATCCAAAGGCCATCTGCTTGAACAACTGCCATGATTCTTCAGAAGTTAGGAAGCTAAGATCATAAGAAGGCATTGTTCCTATCATTTTTGAAATAGTTTCATCGCGTGTTGTTAATAAGATCATTCCCAACTGAGCACCCACCAACAGGGAAAGCAAAGCATCCCAGATTTCCTTCTGCACATTCCACACATTGTCAAGAACTAGAAAGAACTTCATGTCTTGTACTTGCGCCGTTATCATATTTTGGAGATTACCCATATCTTCTATATCACATGGATTCCTAGTGAACGACATGATAATTTTTCTTGCAATTGCCTTAACATCAAAATGACCCTCAGAAACATCCACCCAGCCCTTTAGTTGAAAGTACCTGCTGACTCTTTCATCATTGTACACCATTTGAGCAAGAGTTGTCTTACCCAAACCCCCCATGCCAACAATAGAAACAACAGACATATTTGCTTGAGCAGCTTCATCGGAAATTAATATTTCGATGATGTTTTCCTTGTCTTCTTCTCTACCAACTATGTCAAAATCACCTACATGCGGGGTTGTAGATATCTTGATGTCATAGGCCTCCTCTCTTATTGGTGCGTCACTCTCATTGAGTTGGAGATCATCCCATGCCTTTGTGATCTCATTGAATTTTTCTAAAATTTTCCTCACCCTTGCTGCCAAATCATCTGGAACAGGAACTTTGATAGGGGATGGTTCAGGTTCCTGTACATGCACTAATATTATTATAATCCAAAGGCATGTAGTATACTGTGTACTAACAAGAGTTAAATAAAACACACATATGTACATGCTCCTTTATGGACCCCTTTTTGCTCCTCTACTATCCCAATACTTTTATATGGCTATGTCAATGGTTGCTTATGCATGATATGCAGATTGCTCATGTATTATTGAGAGAAACAAATTGCTTGGGAGCTTATCTTTTTATACAAGAAACTTTGAGAGGAGGCCTCTGCAATTTGGAAGCTTTATTTCATCAAAGAAGAAACACAGACTATTTTTTCTGATAAACCAAATGTAGCATTGGTTATAGCTAGGATAAGGGGATAATATTACCTTCTTGTCACCTTTGCGCTTGCGCTTGCGACTTCTGCTGCTCTGCCTTTGATTGCTTTGGTCCTCCATCCTCCGTCGAAGCAACTCATACCTGTATTCATCGACAGCATCCTGGGCATCATATGCAAGCTGCTGCAGCTCCCACAGGCGAAGTCTCTCGGCTTCATCTCTTATATTGTGTTCATCCATCGCATCGAGGGTCCGCTGAATCCTTGCCATCGTCCTCTGCAGATCTCTTAGATCTCTGAACGAAGCACTTTGCTCGTCAGATGATGATGAAACGATTTGAGGAGAAACCAAGGAAGAAAGCTTGTTTGTTGTCCACTTTATGATTCCAGATGCTAGTAGTCCAGCCATCTCTTCTCAACTGCTCTTTCTGATCCAAAGACAGAGTTAGACCAAGCTGAGAGATGAATCAGATTAACAAGGCAAGAGGAACATATAGAAGTTCAGGGTGTTGACCTTGTGGACAAGTGCAATGCAATTTTTAATGCACAAGCTGTGGTTTCCAACCTCCTTACAACAAGAGGCATATATTGGTTTTCAACCAATTCCTGTTATTATGTTTCCAACCTCCTTACAACAAGAGGCATATATTGGTTTTCAACCAATTCCTGTTATTATAGTGTCAAAACTGCATAACTGCGCACACAGTACCACTAGCTGAAATGCATTATCTGCTCTTTTTTTTTTTGCGGGGAAATGCATTGTCTGCGTGGACACATCATTTCAGAATATCAATGTAATGCTCAGAACTATTCTTGTATGGTGACATGCATTTTCTGTGTCCCTAATCTAGTCTGTAAAGGGCCACTATAGAACCATTTTCTGTGGTTCATATGCTCTGTAGAACCATGAATTGCTTTATATTGCCAAGCCCTGTTGAGAACAGCATAGTTCAATCTATAGAATCACTTAATTAGAACACCGCGCAAGGAATCTTATAGTTAAACCAGAAAAAAAAATCTCTAGTCCAATTGTAGTTTGTTTTATAAAGAGAAATTGTTGTCCCTTCATCTACCTGGTATATACTCCAAAACTATTTTCACTGTAAGTGTTCAGTTTTGCAAACGTACACTAGCAGCTGCACATTTTGCTAAATATGAGGGCAGGTCTATCCTACTTTTCTCCTTCCCTGTTACTAGTTTAAAAATAAAATTTAGATATGTGGCATTTCATGTTAAACATTGCTTCCAACTCGTACAATTTTGCACAGGAGAAAAACCAATGAACTGATAGTAACCGAAGAGGCAAAATTTAGGGAAACAGCATTCCTCTAACAAGGTGAGCATAAAACATCAAAACCAGTTTCAGATTTTGTTCCTTCTATCAAGGATACGAGACTGTTACAGTGTGTTCGCATGGTCGGACTGGACCACGTGCCCATGGACATAGATAGGATCAAAGTATACTTATGCAAAAAAATAATAGAGTAATAATAAGTATCTTTAGTTAACTCTTATGATTTTTTTTTCTTTCACTGATCAGGAGGACTATCTTCCATAGGGCAGACCGCCACTTCAGCCACACATTATCCCAAAAACAAATTTATGTATAGACAAGGACAAACTTCTTTGACATCACAACATCAGAAAGCGGCAATAAATATGCAAGGCTATAAAAATGTTTGACGTTGAGCTAACAAACATATCAAATTTTACAAAATTATAATGGCATGGTTCTAATTTTTCCCTATTTATTTTCTAAGTAGCATTTGGTTCAATCAAGCTAACCAGGATATAAAAATCAATTCAGATCCCTAAGAATTGCCTCCCAACTTCAACTGCGGTTACACGAGTAGTTCTTGTTTTAATCATACCCTAATCCCCAGCATCTTACTCCAGACAATAGCAATTTGCAACCACATATGGACAAGTTTGTACACAAACATTGAGTGCGTGCAAATGATGCAACATTTAATAAAACTATCAAAATACCCATGTTTTGTCTAGGTGTCAGTGCTTTTTTTGAACTATTTCGTCCCGGTGAAAAACATCACACCCGCATGACCCGATATCGACACTAAATGAAAAAAGCTCACCCAACGAGTCACCGAGAGATTTTTTTTGAAACAAACGCTCTCAATCCATTCCAATATGTCCAAGTCTCATGTTACGGTGCTTTTTGAACTAATTCGTTTCGGTGAAAAACATTGTACCCACTGTTGATGTGAAAATACGGCAGCCTGGGAGATCTGCTTAACTCTAGTGTAGGTCCAAGGCTAGCCTCAAGTGTCTCAAGGGCGTGCCAACTGATTTGATCCTGCAATCAGCAATAAAGAATAAAAGCAGAATCAATTGACTGATAGCCAATTGGCCGATAGGCTAATAGCGTATTGTTGATGGTCTCAGCATTGTCGTGGCGTGGTAGCTCCTGGAACCTTCGCATGATCATGTTCACGCGGGGTGTGGTGCTGGCGTGGCATGTACCATCGTCCACTCCCATGTAAGGGTAGAAGGTTGACAACGCCAGACCATTTTTCATGACGTACTGGAAAGCGTTCAAGGCGAGGCCCCCTGCGCAGCCTTTGCTCCTTGGATGGCAATCCACGAGCTCCTGCTCTGACAGGAGCACCGGGTTGTCGTAGTTTGCCCCTGCATGCGATGACGCGGTGGCTCTCCAGCGCGCCCGTCATGGCGAACGCCCAGCAAGAGCCGTAGCACCCCCATGAACATGACTGGACCAAGGCACGGCTGGCCTTCGCAGGTCTTGTTGCGCCAATTGATGGAGACAGGGAGCGGTAGGGTCCCGTTGCCATCGTGCCTTTTCACGGGCCAAAACGCGAGGTTGCTCTGCTTCGTCATCATGTGACACATGTCGCGACTGAGTGCTTCGTCGGTGGCTTCGGCGAAGATGTTGAGACCTGGAGCTTGGCTTGCAACTCAAAGAAGAGAGGCAACGCGGTGCATCATCTCGTTGAATGCTACTAACGGCGGAGCTTCTCGACGATCTTGCGTGCTACATTGTGGCCAAGTGATAGGGCGGCCGGACTGTGTTGCTTGCCTCCTTTCATAGAAGGTGCAGAGAGCGAGCGAGCCAGGTAGGCAAGTAGCCAACCAGCAGTGCTGTCGAAACATGAATTCGGCAATAATAAAACGGGGTAGCGCACGAGACCTAAAAGTGGATGGATGCGGAGACAAGGATTTAGACAGGTTCAGGCCCTCTCAATGAGAGGTAATACCCTACTCCTCTTTGTGGATTTGAATCCGCCGAGTGTAGTATAGATCTGACGATCTAATTGTCTCATACCCCCTAGAAGGCCTCCTGCCCACCTTATATAGGATGGGGGGTAGGATTACAAGATAGAAACCTTATCCAA